CCCCCCCCCCCCCCCGCCCCAGAGCAGTAGCACCATTTATGTCAGCCAGAATTCTCAACCTGCCCATCAAGACCTTCACCCACACCTTCTAATTTCTTCTAGCCACAAAATAATTCTGCTTTATTTGCAGCTGTGATTCACACCTAATTAAGTAGGTTCAACAGTCACCTTAATTGCCTCTCAATTGTTTATAAAAACCAATACTATTTCTAGTAGACAGTATGAGCTGATGAAGAGAAATCACCTAATTTCTTTTTCACAGGGTGTCCTCTTCAATGGAACTGTACATTTCTAAAGAACATCATTCTAATATTAATAACTGCAATTTCTCTCTCTTCATGCTATTATCTCAAGCCTGCCAAAAGAGTTAAGTAGGCTACAGTGCTGAAAAACGACCATTTACAACCTTCACAGCATCCCTTGGTCATTTGATCACCATTACAGTCAGTATACTTTGTCCTGTGCCTGGCATTGCTTCGATATGTACAAGACAGTAAGCAGGCACTTGAGCAGTTCCAAAGGGCAGGGGAGCGGTTAGGAGGTCAACAAAAGCCAAAGGTATAAAACTGTAGTCTTGTCTCTTTCCAGCTGGAAAGCATAGTCATGGTGACATGATTTCCCACTTAGCAACTGCTTCACTTAGTGGCAGAGTTGCCAGTCCCAATTAGAGTTGTTAAGCGAGGACTACCTGTATTAAGATTTGTTTAAACTATAACTAAAGGTTCTTCCTCACAGCCAAATGAAAATGCTACCCCTCAGTCTTCAGCTGGCAGAAAACAGTACCATTATAAAATTTGCTGCCCATGCTCGTGAATCTTATCCTATCATAGGCATGATACCAGCAAATGGGGCTCTCCTTATTTACATGTACAAGGTATATTAAGGACAGGGATTGGTGGATTTTCTTGGTTTCCCTTTATTTTCCTCTCACCAAAGGTCACCAACCAGAGGGAAAGCATCTACTAATTAATTACTCTCATTAACTTAGGCTGGGACTGGGTGATGGCTAAGGCAGAGACAAGTTTTGACAGATAGCTAGACTGGCAAGAGTGATGGCTAAGGCAGAGACAAGT